CCCGGCCGCGCCCTCACCGCCAGGGCGGTCTCCTTGCAGCCTCCTGCGGCTGCCGCACACAGACGCCTTGCTGGTGATGTGCTTCTCGATCGTGGAGAACTCCTGCATCATAACCCCGACGGCCAAGGCCTGGAAGTACTTGGAGGAAGAGATCCTTGGCTTCGGGAAGTCGGTATGCCCGCCCTGCTGTCGAAAGGACACCCCCTCTGCGTGTCCCCTGGGCCAGGCACTGTGCTGAGTGTGGGCAGGGATGGCGGGAGGCACAGCTGGGGAGAGTCTCTCCGAGAGGGACTCCCTCCTCTGGCGGCATCTCCAGCCCACCTTCACGGAGGAAGGCTGGAGACCTGGAGACCTAGCCTGCCACCCAGTCCCGTCTGGAATGACTCCTCAGCGCTCTGAGCTGTCAGGGGGGCTTTGTGTCCTCTCTTGATCCAGTGCCTAGCTTTGCTTAGCTTTGCTTTAGGTGCAAGTTTGCTTCCTTCCAGAGTTTCCACAGACCCCACTCCAGGACTCTCTAAAGAGATTCCAGTCTTGGCCAGGCATGGTCCCAGCACTTTGGGAGGCTGAGGTGGGAGGATCACTTGAGTCCAGGAGTTCAAGACCAGCCCGAAGCCTGGGCCACATAGCAAGACTCTGTCTCTACAAAAAAACCAAAAAATAGCCCAGTGTGGTGGTGCTTGCCTGTAGTCCCAGCTACGTGGGAGGCGGAAGCAGAAGGACCGCTGAAGCCCACGAGTTTAAGGGTGCAGTGAGCTGTGTTCATGCCACTGCACTCGAACCTGGGTGACAGAGGGAGAGCCTGAGTCAAAAAAAAAAAAAAAAAAGCAAAAAAGGATTCCAGGCTGGGTTCAGTGGCTCAGCCTGTCATCCCAGCACTTTGGGAGGCCAAGGCAAGTGGATTGCCGGAGCCCGTGGGTTCGAGACCAGCCCGGGCAACTTGGTGAGCCCTCGTCTCTACAATACATCAAAAAAATTAGCCGGGTGTGGTAGCATGAGCCTGTAGTTCCAGCTCCCGGGAAGGCTGAGGCGGAAGGATGGCTGGAGCCCAGCAGGTCGAGGTGCAGGTCGTGCCCCTGCCCTCCAGCCTGGGTGATGGAGTGAGACTCCAACTCAAAAAAAAAAAGGGATTCCAGTCTTAATGCGTCCTCAACACTCAACAAGTCTAGTCCCAGGAAAAGACACTTTACATTTAGGTTTTTAAAGAATACAACTTAGCAAACATTTATTGAAAGCTTGTATACCATCCACCCGCCCATTTGTTCAACAAATACTGATTGGACACCAACTCTCTACTAAGTATTTGAGATGCCAGCAGGGCGTTCAGTAGATCCAGTCCCCCGTCTTTTGAGAATCTAGAGGGGAGAGAGACAAGGGAACCTGCAGGACAGTGTGACGGGCTCAGAGCCAGAACACACACGGGGACAGAGTCCTGAGGGTGAATGAGATGGGAAGACAGCTCTCCACATTTGGGAGGAGCAGAGAATGCTTATGAGAGGAACTGAGGTTGAAACTGAGATCCAAAGTTAAAAGCAGTGAGCCAGGCAGAGGGAGAGGCCCAGTGAGCTTCCTGCTAGAGAGATTAGTACGTGCAGAGGCTCTGAGGCAAGGAGGAGTAAAATGCCAGGAAGAACTAAGGATGAGCATACTAGCCAGGTGTGGTGGCTCACACCTGGAATCCCAGCACTTTGAGAGACCGAGGTGGGAAGGATTGCTTGAGCCCAGGAGTTCAAGACGAGCCACATAGCGAGACTCTATCTCTACCAAAAAAAAAAAAAAAAAAAATCAGCTGGGCATGGTGGTTCGTGCCTGTAGTCCTAGCTACTCGGGCAGCTGAGGCTGTGGTAAGCTGCGATCCTGCAACTGCACTCCAGCCCAGGTGAAGTCTGAGTGCCAGAGTGAGACTCTGACTCAAAAAAAAAGTTTAGGGGTCAGGCGAGAGCTACTGGACTGTATGGCTTGCATAAGAGGCAGTAAAGAGTCCGTTTTACCCGGAGCAGTTAAGCAGGAGAGAGAGCCAGAGAGAGCCAGGGTCATCATGCCAAAACTCTGGGATGACGGTTGTTTGCGTTTCAGCTGGGAGGAAGGGGAATCAGTACCGACTTTTGGTCAGGGACGTGAGGTTCCTCCCTTGTGTGCTGGGAGGAGGTGACGAGAGACAGCGCATACTGAGGAGCTGTCCGCAGAGGCGAGGAAGCGGGCCTGCCGGGCAATGTCCTCCGGCTGTGCTGGGTCCAGCTGGGAGATGGAGCTCCCTGCCGAGGAACAACTCCGGGAGTCCAGAGTCTTCGAGCCGGGGCACCGACTGGAGTGAGGAGGGCGGGGCCCGTGTCCTAGCTTGCCCGTCAGTCGGACGTGTGGACTTGAGCCTTGGTCTCCTCACCTGGCAGGGGAGGGCATCAGCTCCCGCAGAGCCCAAACGGGAGGGGAGCATTGTGGCCACAGGACCGGCACCTCGCCTCTGTGAACGGTGGCGTTACCAGTGGCAGAGGCCAGGGGAGGGGGGGTTAGGAGTTCTTCTCCGAGAGGGCTCAGGTGGGGGTGGCTGTGGGCCACCCGGTGGTAGATGCCTGTCAGGCCGGCCCTTGGCAAGAGAGCTCGGAGCTCCGGAAAGGGATGGGGGCGGTGGCAGGCTTGGGTGTCACCTGCAGGTCGACGAGGATCCCCTTAGGAGTGAATCAGTCCTCCAGGAAGCGGGCGGCTAAATGGAGAGCCAAGGCCAAGTCCGGGAGGAACCCTTGGGGAGGCAGCGGGGAGAAACCGGATAAGCTTTTGGAACCTTGTGTGGGGCCCACACTGGAGGGCGGAGGCCAGGCCGCGGAGTCAGCCTCAGCCTCTCGCCACACTCCTGCCAGGTCTGCGACAGCCTCGGGCGGAGACACGTGTCTACCTGCAAGCTCTGTGGCTTCTGCTCCCTGAAGCTGGAGCAGTGCCACTCGGAGGCCAACCTGCAGCGGCAGCGGTGCGACAGCTCCCACAAGACGGCCTTTATAAGCCCCCTGCTCACCTCCCAGAGCCTGCCGATTGGCAACCAGGTACCCAGTGGCTGCTGCGGGCGGTGTGGGTGCGGCGGGAGGCTCGGGGTGGGCGGAGGAAGGTGCACGCCTCTCCCGTCTCCGGTGCTGCAGGTGGGGCCCGAGGACCGGGGTCACTTTTATGGGCTGGATCTGTACGGTGGGCTGCGCATGGACTTCTGGTGTGCCCGGCTTGCCACGAAGGGCTGTGAGGACAGCCGCGTCTCTGGCTGGCTCCAGACGGAGTTCCTGAGCTTCCAGGATGGGGACTTCCCCACCAAGGTCAGAGCCACCCCCAGGGTTTGCCCAGGCCCTGCCGTTGCCTGGTTCCAGGTGGTCCTGGGGCTCCTGGCTTCTGAGAACCAGCCCTCACCAAACCTCCCGCCTTCGTCCAGTGAACCACCGCCCCCACCCCACTCCCAGAAGAGCAGGGTCCTGTATGGCCACATAGTAGGAATCCAGAGGGGTGAGAAAGCCCAGGTCTGGGAGGCCAGGGAGGCTCTGTCCCAGCTCTGCCGGTTACTTGCTGAGTGGCTCTGGTCGGGTCACTTCTACTCCGGACCAAAGTTCTGTCTCTTTTTTTTTTTTTTGAGTCGGAGTCTCACTCAGTCGCCCAGGCTGGAGTGCAGTGGCCGCTCCTGGCCACCGCAGCCTCGCCTGCTGGGCTCCAGCGATCCTTCCGCCTCAACCTTCCGAGAAGCCGGAATTATTGGCATGCGCTACCACGCCTGGCTGATTTTTTTGATTTTATTGTAGAGATGAGGTCTCGCTGCCCAGGCAGGTCTCGAACCCGTGGGCTCAGGCAATCCACTCACCTCAGCCTCCCAAAGGCGCGAGATTACAGGCCCGAAGAAACACTTCTATATGGGTTTCCAAGAGACAGTCTCTCTCCTCTCAAGTACTTATGGTCTCTGAGAATGTTTTTCACATCAGAATTCCTGGCCAGCTGCCAGTGTCATGATTGCTGGCCGAGCACCACGCCCTCCTATAGCCCCTCACTCAGATTCCATCACCATCACCTCAAATTCTGATAGTTGTATCTTGATGCACTGACATAACTCAGCTCCTGGCCTCGTGAGATCCCCCTAATCCTCTAAACCCAGGCACCTCCAGGCTCTTGACTATGAAACGTTCAAAATATAAGCTAATCCTGACCTCGGAAAGCAGAGCATTATTCAGCCCTGTTTGCTTTAAACCTGACTGTAGCCTCGATCACGGCTCTGGTCTCAGCCTTACACTTTCATCACTGCTGCTGGCAAACATCCCAGCATGTCTTCTGCATATATTTTTTCAAAATAAGTATACATTTCAAAAGGAGACTGTGATGTGTCAAAACCCAAATAAATTTAACTCACAAAAGAAGGACAAGAACAATATTAAAGCAACAATCAGGGACTGGGGACCCTGGGAGAGAATGCAGACTCTGACACGAGAACCTAATGCATTTACATGTATGCCGGGCATCACTGGGGAGGGGGGACTACCTAAGTAACTTTGGAAACGGGGTTTGGACTCAGAGCTGTCAGGCTGAAGGCAGAAAGAGCCTACGTAAACACAGCAACCTAGCTAAGGGAGTTGTCACGAGGTAAAAGTTAGTAATTCTGAACACTCTGCATGTACACAAGGGTCAAGCAAACAAGTAATGGGAGGTGGTGGTGGGAGTCACGTTTCCAGAGGGAAGTTACAAGTGAGCAGGTGGGGAGACTTATCCATGTAAGGAATTTAGCCATGCAGAGCTAAAGCAGAGCTGCAGCCTGGCAGGCACACAAGTCCACCTCCACAGAGATACAGATGGACAAATACAGGAATAATGACAGACACATGTATGCACGTGCATTCGGATACATTCACATGCTTCCTAGCTCTGCCTACTGAAAGGGCTTAGACAAAGTTACATTCTGGGAGCAGAAGGCACACCTAGAGCCAGACCTGGGATTCTTAATGCCACTTCCCAAAAAAAAAACAACAAAGACTCCTTAGAAAAATGGCTGATTCTGAGGCAGCAGCAGAGTCAGGGAACACACATGTCCTTAGAGAAGAATTCCAAAGGGTTCATGTAGCTCCTTATCCCTGCAGGAGGTGAAGCTTAATTCCACCCCCCTTGAGTGTGGGTAGAGTTAGCAACTTGCTTCTAAAAAAAAACAGTTAGCCGTGCTTGGTGGCTCAGCCTGTAATCCCGCACCTTTGGGAGGCTGAGGTGAGTGGACTGCCTGAGCCCGCGGGTTCAAGACCCGCCTGGGCAGCGAGACCTCATCTCTACAATAAATCAAAAAAATCAGCCAGGCGTGGTAGCGCATGCCTGTAATTCCAGAAGGCTTAGGTGGAAGGATCGCCGGAGCCCAGCAGGTCGAGGTTGCAGTGGCCAGGAGCGGCCACTGCACTCCAGTCTGGGCGACAGAGTGAGACTCCAACTCAAAAAAAAAACAAAACAGTTATGTAGAGGGGGAAGAAAGAAAAAAGTACCTTTCCAGTAAGGAAACCTGACAAAAACTAATGGAGTCAGTGCAAGTTAACATTACTGGCCATGCTGATGACACGCGGCCCTGGATCTGATGTGATGAGAAGGGTACTCGACCTCTGAGGTCTTCATGGCAAGAGCCCATAGCCCCATCCTCATCATCAGGAAATACATCAGGTGAACTCCAACTGAGAGACAATCTACAAAACACCTACCCAGGATTCCTCACAACTGTTGGAATTATGAAAACAAGAACAAGTTGAAGCAGCTAGGGAGACGACGATTCAATGCAATGTGGTATCCTGGACTGGATCAAGGACAATGTCTTTCACAGAACATTAGTGAAACCGAGTAAAGTCTGGAGTTTGTGATTTTGTTCAGTCAATTGTGAGGTACCAACGCTGCTCCTTATTTTTGACAAATATATATGGTGAGGGAACTGCGTGAGGGTATCCGTGGGAATTCTCTGTACTATCTGCAGCTTTTCCAAGTCTAACGCCATTCCAAAATAAAAAGTTTATTAGAAAAGCAGCAACAGACATTATAACAGAGATTTTTTTCTCCATATTTAGACTACCACTGAAACACACACACGCACACACACCCAAATCTTTTCCCAGCACTGCCTTCAAAATGAAAGAAGCAAACGAACTCAGGCTGGAGCGTGGTAAATCAGCTGAAGGAAGTTCTGTTAACTAGGTACACAACCTTAGACAAGGGATGTCACCTCTCTGGGCCTCCATTTCCTGATCTGTAATACAAGCAGGTTAAAAAAAAGAAGACGTTTAAGTCTTGTTTCAGGTCAAAGATACACTAGTCTACAAAAGCAATGCCCAACTTCCTGAACACCAGATTTGTCTAGATTTCCTCCCACACCCAGGAGCTGCTTCTCCATCTCACTGCCTGCAAATCTCCCCAGCCCCCAGGACACTGGCCTAGGCCAGCATCTCCTGCCACCTCACACACTCTCCCCAGGAGGCCCACCTCACTCTGTGGCTTCGATTCCCATGCACAAGCCATTTCCACATCCACACCTTTACCCTGAGCTCAAAGGCCAGCTACATGTTGGCCATTTTCTGAAACAGAACTCCTCTCCCTCTACAACTTGCTTCCCTCTGCGTGAGCGGAGTAAGGGCCCCCTGATGTCCCCCAACCCTCTATGTCCTGTTACATGGAAAGAGGGAATGCAGTGGACGTGGATGGAGATAATGCTAGTCAGCCAGCCCTGAGGCGGGGCGATACTCCAGAATTATCCCAGCGGGCCTAGCATCATCACGAGGGACTTTGTTAACGAGAGAGAGAAGTAGGCGAGTCCGCCACAGTGACACAGGCCACAGTGCTGCCAGGTTGCAAGGCGTGAGGAGGCAACAGGCCCAGAGGTGAGCAGCCGCTAGGAGCAGGGAAGGCAAGGAAGCGACTCTCCTGGAGACTCCAAAAGGCGCACTGCCGGCTGACACCTTGCTTTCAGCCCTCCCAGACCTGTGTTATGCTTGTGAATCGTGTAGTTCTAGGCCACTAAGTTCCGGAAATTTGTTCCAGTCGCAACGGCAAAGGAACGCGCCCTCTGAGAAAACAGGCCTCTATGAACATGGATGCCTAGACCCAAACCCTGGGTATCTGCTGACTTCTCCCTTTCCTCCATGTCCAAAGTCAAGAAACCATCAAGTTCCATCACTTACTCCCCAACCCCTTACTGCCTTCCTAGTCCAAGTCATTGCACTAGCCTCCCAAGTGGCCAGCCTGCCCCCAGGCTCATTCCTAGGAAGCCACTCCCACATCAGAGCCAGAGAAGCCAGGTAACACACAAACTGTCCTATTCTTCCTCAACACACTTAGCGGCTTCCCACCACCCTACAGCCCAAGCTCCTTACCCTGCCTCACCAGAGCCAACCGCCACTGTCCTGGCCCTTTCCTGTTCGCTCTACTTTCTGCTCAGCGCACATGGCTTTTTTAGTCACTGCTGTATTTCTCATATAGGCTTGAGCAACCCTAATCTAAAAATCTGAACTCTGAAATGATCCAAAATCTGAAACTTTTTGAGCAGTGACATGACACCACCAGCGGAAAATTCCACACCTAAGTATTAAAAGACAAACTTGTTTCATGTACAAGTTATTAAAAATATTGTATACCTCAAGCTAGGTACACAAGGTGTACAAGAAACAAAGAAATTTAGTGTTTAGACTTGGGTCCTACCCTGGGATACCTCATTATGTATACGCAAATATTCCCAAATCTGAAAAAATTCAAAGTCTAAAACACTTCAGACCCACAGGTTGTGCGTCCCTTATCGTCAGGTAAGGGACGCGCAGCCTGTGTTATTAAGTTTCAGCCAAGATCCCAAATCCTCCCAAGTTTAGCACTGAGACAACAGAGCTAAGGCCAGTCCAGGGCAACTCTCTCAAACTCAGCAAACTCCCCAGCGCTCTGGAAGCCTCCAACCAAGAGAATAGAAATAGAGCACTAACAAAAGCCACATCTTCCATGGGAGGCTTCACACGACCCTTCCTTGTTAACTGGCTTAAACGTCTATTGCAGTCCGTGCCACAGGAACGCTGCTCTTTTTTGCCGGAAGGTAAACCCCATCCTCATTTTTCTAAAACTGGAACACATTTCTGGTTCTTAAACCACATCATTTTTTTCCCTACTGAGAATATGATGTCCTCCCAAACATACATGTACCCCCTAGACCTCAACACACACCCTTAGAGCCATCCCCTACCCTGACAGCAAGATACACACTCTAAGTCGCTTTTCCACTCATTTCCCGTTACAGCCAAAGCAAGTGTTTAAGGCTGACCAAGAAGTAAATCTTACACAACAAATCAGCAAATGAGAAACACCTATGAAAAAGATCTTTCATATCTTTTTATATGAAAGGAAAAGGAAGCTCAAAGACATGAAGGACCTGGTTCAAACTCTCACAGCTAGTGGACAGTAGAACTTGCCTTTCAGCTCCTGGCTGCCTAGACTTTGCACAATACCAACTCTGGGCCAAATGCTCTGAAGGAGCCATCTCTCTCACCTGCAAAGGGTCCAAATAATTACAACAAAAACAAAGTAACTAATAGATGAAATGTGAATGCTATGTGCCAAGCATGGTGCAAAGCACTTCACACATATTGAATTCCCACATCAACCCTAGGGTGAGAATAAGGGAGCCGTGTGCAGGCATGAAGTGAAATAAAAACTCACTAGCTATTAACTGCTATTTGACAATACCACCCCCATTTTACAAAGGAGAAAACCGAAACTTACTCTAAGTCACAATATTGACAATCTGCAGAGCTGAGTCTGAACCCAGTGACCTGATTCCAAAACTGGTTCTTAAAGCTCCAAGTTCCCCTGTCTGGCCAGCCCTCCTCACCAACAAGGGAAAGAAGACAGCGCCAGCAGAATCCCCATGGATACCTCCTGACCAGCCGGCCGGCTTTTCTACTTGAGACATACTGCACCTTCTCCAGACAGAAGGGCTGGAGCTGTGACATGTGCTGGGAATTCTTGAAAAGATCTGAGCTGCAGCATCCTTGTGGTGTCCTAAATCCTCCGAGTGCTGGGAAACAGTTCCCCATGGGTCTCACATATCTCCTTACATCCTGGGAGCAGACACTAACCGCCCTTTGTGCCAGAGTCTTTTCACAGATGTCTGTATAATGAACAAAACCTCAGGAGATCGAGACCATGTGTCCTCCAGAGCAGAGCACAGTGCAATATAGACAATGCCTCCTCCATGCAAAGAGCAGGTAGGGTGCACTCAGGAGAAGAACCTGGGCCCCTGAAGCCCAAGGTTCCTCCAAGGTGACACAGACCCTCTGCAGTGCCACCCTGGGCCCTTTCACGTAGCCCCCATCGGGCTTGAAACATACAGGACAGCACCCACGTTGCCTCCACAGAACTCGGGGCAGAAAGGAGAACACCCGTGTCACCCCCATGGGACTTGGAGCAGCCAGGAGAGCATCCACGTCACCCTCATTGAACTTAGGGCAGAAGGGACAGTATCCGTGTCACCCCCATAGGACTTGGGGCAGCCAGGATAGCAAGGTGAGTCATAATCCCCACACTGCTTGATGGGCAACAAGGAATAAAGGCCTCTGTCTCTGGGCCAGGAGTGCCCCATCCCCTGCCAGCACCCATGACGCTCTGGCAGGCTAGCTGGTCAGTTTTCGCAGGTCTTGACACCAAGCCGTTCACAGCTGTTTCCATCTTTGCTCCACTCAGAGCAACCTCTCCCCCCCCACAGGGAACTCCTACTCGTCCTGAGTGTCACCGACTCCCGCATAAACCTTCTACCCGAGGTCCTCAGCTGGATCAGCCCATCCACCCAGGGCACCCAAAGTTTCCTGCAAGCAGGTCTCTAGCACAGCATCATCACAGCGTTACTCCACCTGCGTGAGCGTGTGCTGGGCCAGGTGTCAATTAACTGCCTCTCAGCCCACAATGTGCCCTTCGCCACACGCTCAGCGATAATGGACGGGGCTGCTTCAAGCACTTCTCCTTACAGCGGGCACGACGTGAAGCGCTCTCGATGGAGAGCACCTGTAGGACACTGCAGGAGAAGGGGAGTTCCCCAGCCAGCGTCACACTTGAGCCTGAGAGGCTGGACACACGGCAAGGGTGTCCACTGTCACCGCTCTCACGCTACAACGTACTGCAGGTCCTGTCCGGGACAGATAGGCAAGAAGAACAAATAAAAGGCATCCAGATTGGAAAGGAGGAAACAAAACTCTCTCCACTTGCAGATGGCATAGTCCTGTATACAAAGATTCCTGAGAAATCCACTTTAAAAAAAAAAAGGAAGCCGGGCATGGTGGTACACACCTGTAGTTCCAGTTACGTGGAAGGCTGAGGCAGAAGTCACCTGAGACCAGCAGGTTGGGACTGCGGTGGCCGTGAGCGTGCCACTGCACTCCAGCCTGGGCGACAGAGTGAGACGACAACTCAAAAAAGAAAAAAGGAAAAATAAGTGGCCTCAGCAAGGTTACAGAACACAAGATCAATGTACAAAAATCAATTGTGTTTTTATACACTTGCAATGAACAACCCGAAAGCGAAATTAAGAAAACAACTACACCTACAATAACATTAAAAATAATAAAATGTTTATGAATAAACTTAACAAAAAATGTACAGGATTTTCACTCCGAAAATTATAAAACACTGCTGAAAGAAATTTTTAAAATTCTGAAAGAAAATTTTAAAATTTAAAACAAATGAAGACTGGTGGCTCAGACCTATAATCCCAGCACTATGGGAGCATCAGGCGGGAGGATCACTTGAGGCCAGGAGGTCAAGACCAGCCTGGGCAATGTAGCAATACCCCATCCCTACAAAAATAAATAAATTAGCTGGACATGGTGGTGCATGTCTTTAATCCTAGCTACTCGGGAGGCTGAGGTGAGAAGATAGTTTGAGGTCAGGAGTTACAGAATGCAGTGAGCTATGATTGCGCCACTGAACTCCAGTCTGGGCAACAGAATACCATCTTGTCTAAAAAAAAAGAGAAAGAGCTAAATAAAATCCCATGGCCATCAATCAGATGATTTAATATTGTTAAGATAATAATACTCCTCCAGACTGGGCTACAGACTCATGTAATCTGCTCAGAATCCCAGCTGCCTTCTTTTTAGAAACTGATAAACTGATCTTAAAAACGATAGAGAATTACAAGGGACCCTGAACACCCAAAAGAATCTTGAAAAATAACAAAGTTGGAAGTCTCACACTTCCTGATTTCAAAACATAACTACAAAGCAACAGCAACAAGACACTGTGGTACAAGCAGAAACAAAGGCCTTCAGAATTCCATTGATAAAATAGATTTGAGCGTCTAAAAACAAACCTGTTTTTGTCAACTGATTTCAACAAGGGGCCAAGGCCACAGGGCAGGGAAAGAATGGTGCTGGGACAACTGAATAGCCACAGGCAAAAGAATGAAATTGGACCCTCAACTCAAACCAGATACAAAAATTAACTCAAAATGGGTCTAACTGTAGCGGTTAAAACTATAATACTTGAAAAAAGCAGGGGCCAATCTGCGTGACCTAGATTCAGTGATAGGTTCTTAGATAGGACACCGAAAGCTTGAGCAACAACAATAGGTAATCTGATTTCATAAGCAAAAGCTTCTGTGTTTCAAAGAACACTATCAAGAAAGTGAAAAGACAACACACACAAAGGGAAAATACTTGCAAATCACATATATGATACGAGACTTGTAATACAGAAATAACTAATATCTGAATAGACATTTTGCCAAAGATATTCACATGGCCCGTAAGCTCACGACATCCTTAATCATCAGGGAAATGCAAAACAAAATCACAGTGAGGCCAGAAGCAGTGGCTCATGCCTGTCGTTCAGCACTTTGGAAGGCTGAGGCAGGTGGATTGCCTGAGCTCAGGAGTTCGAGACCAGCCTGGGTAACATAGTGAAACCTCATCTCTACAAAAAGTTAAGGGAAAAAAAAAAAGTAGCTGGGTGTGGGGGCACGCACCTGTAGTCCCAGCTGCTTGGGAAGCTGAGGTGGAAGGATTGCCTGAGTACAGGACTTCCAGCCTGGGTGACAGAGTGAGACTCCAACTCAAAAAACAAAAACCAAAAAAACCCAAAACTACAGTGAAATACTAATTTGAAATACTATTTTGATATAAATGCTCATAGAAGCATTACTTATTACTAATAAGAAATCATCAAGTAATGCTCTAATAATAACTCAATGACCATCAATGAATGGATGTATAAAATGTGGTAAGTTCCTATTCAGCCACAGAAAGGAATGAAGCACTGACTAATACATGTCATAGCATGGATGAACCTTAAAAACACTACACTAAGTGAAAGAAGCCAGTGCCCAAAGACCACATACTACATGAGTTCATCCATACGAAAAGTCCAGGACAGGCAAATCTACAGAAACTCCAAGACGATGAGCAGCTCTTTAGGAAGGGGGGTGGGGAAATCAGGAACGTGATCGCTGAAGCGTGCAGAGTCTCTTTCTGTGAGGTGATCAAGTGTTCTAAAACTGACTGTGTTGACGGTTACACGTGTTTGCAAATATTCTAAAAGAACTCCACTGAACTGTACACTTTAAACGAGTGAATTATATGGTACGCAAATTATACCTCAAAAAAGCTATTTTTTAAAAGTCACCAAACAGGACAGGCACGGTAGCTTAAGCCTGTAATCCCAACAACTCTAGGAGGCCAAAGTGAGAGGACTGCTTGAGCCCACGGGTTCGAGACCAGCCTGAGCAACTTGGTGAGACCTCGCCTCTACAATAAATCACAAAAACTGGCCAGGCCTGGTGGCCTGCATCTGTAGTTCCAGCTATTTGGAAGGCTGAGGTGGAAGGATCGCCGGAGCCTAGTAGGCTGACGCTGGGGTGGCCATGAGTGTACCACTGCATTCCAGCCTGGGCGACAGAGTGAGACTCCAACTCAGAAAAAAAAAAGTCACCTAACAAAAGAATAAAAAAGCTAATGGAGTTCAGAGAGAGCGATTAACTGTGAGAAATTTTCTTATAAACTAAGTTATAAATAAAACATCATTATGAAGAACTTCAGGTGCTTAATTACTAAATTCTCCACTGAAATAAATTTCATTACAGTAAAATTGCATCCCATAATGAGGGATTCTTTACTTAACATTCCCAACTTAATAGCTCTGTATAGAAAAGCAATGAGGACTGGCAGAGGACATGGCCACGTGCGCAAGTATGTGTGTGTGTGTGTGTGTGTGTGTGTGTGTGTGTGTGTGTGTGTACATGCACGCAAGGGGCAGTATCGCAGAAGCCATGCTGGATTTGAGCAGCCCCCACGTGCACAAGTGTGTGTGTGTGTACATGCACGCAAGGGGCAGTATCGCAGAAGCCACGCTGGATTTGAGCAGCCTCCCGTCAAATGACACTGTCACCTCTGGCAAGTCGCATTCCAGCTCTCACGTCTGTCCAACGCCTCCTTCATTTTAGTAGGATTAAGAGGGCAATGTCTGTAGCCAGATCTACGAATGTGGTGAAGGTGCTGCCTACATGCATTTTTCTAGCATGGTGCTCGTCAGATAACAGACCCTCAGTAAAGACTGTAGAACTAACTTCAGAAAGTGGAAAGGTCTTTTGGAAAGGAGGAAATTCAATCACATGAACTTCATTACAAACATGCCTGACTCTAGAACTTTACAGCAAGATGCTTCAGTAATACACGGTATAGAAGCTGTCAAGGCTCACATCTCAAAAATCATGCCCTAATTTAATGAACTGGCCAGCAAAAAACAATTATTTGCAAGAACCATTCCTCCATAATCCCTTTTCGGTGTCACTTTATATTGATTTTGTACAATTTTGACCCATTCTTAGTCTTACAGGTATGAGGAGAGACTATTAAAGAGTGACGTTTATCTAGACCAGGGTGTCAAGTGCAGCCCACGATTGGTCACAACACACCCATCTGTTCACACAATGTTTACAGCTGCTTTTGCGTGAAAATGGCCGAGCTCGGTGGTACTGCAAAGACTGTAGGGAGCACAGGGCCACAGCTTGGCCAGGAAACGAAATTATCAACTCAGCTTTTCCAACCCCACATCTAGTGGTGGGAATGCAGACTTAGAAACAACTGGATGCAAAAAAGTGCTCTATTGTTCTGATGAATGAATGCCCAGGCGAGGAACCAAAGAAGAGATTCCTTCGGTCTGGGTGGGGGAAGAAGTCTACAAAAGAAAGACAGCACTTGAACTTAACCTTCAATGATGAATAGATGCCCTCCGAGCACACAAGGAAAGGGCGTTCCAGGAAGAGGAAGTCATGAGAACGAAGGCAAGAGGCTTACAGAGCACATACCGGTAGCACTTGAACCCAGTCTCCAGGGCTAAAGGACACAGAGTGTAAGGAAGGAGGCAGCCAGTGATGTCACAAACATTTTTGTAAACTATGCTCCAGGGTTTAAAGCAGGTGTAGCAGTTAAAGCTACCATTTTTCAGAGTAAGTGGCAGACGCTTTGGTCATGGCTTATGAAACAATGAAACAAGAATGATCTATAGAGACAACTCATGGTAATCAAGATTTTTTTTTTTAGATTGGAAAATATAGTTTATTTAGGAAGTAAATGAGAGAGAGAGAGAGGAGAGGAGATTCACCTCCCCAAAGTAGGGGAGGAGGCCAAAGTTTAGGAAAATCATAGATCAAAGAGACATAAGGCCTGGTCAGTGCTTAACAAAAACAATGTCCAACCAAGATTTTTAAATACAATCCTAGTAAAGACTAATAAGTA